CCCATTAATTATGATAAAATACACATACAAATGTATACTTCATTATTATATATGTACCCAACAAAAAAAGGATGTCTTTTCTGCATTGTGATACAATGGAGTAGTAAAAAAAAGTATGACATAATAAGCAGAGATTAAAGGTTCATAACCACCACCAACACACCGATTATGTATGGACAGAGGTTATAAACTTACCAGTGTTTGTGTATTTATCAACCGGCCTAATAATTATAATACATAATGGAAATTCTAGAGAATTTAGGGAACCAGAAATGCAAGTCATGCTGATTTATTTTCATAATTTGTTAAAATAGCATTTAGTTGTATGATCTGAATTTCTGATCATTATGTGTACACATACCTTTGGTAATCACATTTTTGATGATGTTACTCTAAATTGTTGTGGGCATTTGATGGTCTATTAATTGTTGTGGGCATTCAATGATCTTACAAGTTTGATTGATGTTCACCTCCTTTCTCTAATTTAAATTAATTACTTTATAAATTAAGCTTCATAATCCTAGACTGGTCCAGAGAAATGATCGTGATTAAACCTAAAAATCTACCAGTATGTTGGGTGTACTAGTGGAAAATGTTTTCTGCATTTATAATCTTGCTGTTTATATCATGTATATGGTCTATGAACATATAAAGATAATTGTCATTTCTGATACAGTGTTCAATATATTATAAAATTTAAAATTCAGCACTATGGTAATATGAAAAGTTGAAATCAATTTATTAGAGAAAAATGTGTTGCACGAAACTGATGTCAATACTCGATCAATATAAACATATTTCATTTTATTGCATTTACTGTTAACATGAACATCGGAATTATATATATGTTAAAAATGTTATGGAAAACTTGAATTATATAGCTTGATTTACAGAAAATAAATAACAAGGGGCTTGGAAATTTCTCTTGATAACCACAAGGAAAAAAAAAGAGCAAATAGAGAAAAAATCTAATTTCACATCTTAATTTTTTTTTTGTATGAAAACCAGGATGTAACAATCAGATTTATGGGTATGACAGCAGCAAACAGGAAATTTTGTTATATGTGTTCATCATTTTCATAAATGCTGAACTAACTGAATAGAGAATTTCGTTAGTCATGATTTCTTGTTTAAAAGAATTACAGATGTACGCTTTCTGGTATTGTGTGAAAGAAATTGAAAAAAAAACAATAACAGAGGAATCCGAATAAAAATATTAAAAAATCAATGTTTGTCAATGCAGATTAAAGCTTTGACAAGATTTTTTTTTTTGAGGCAGTTGGAAACTCATTTGTAATTTTCATTGCTAATAATACATCTCTTAGGGAATCGACAAAAAGAATTTGAAGCTTTGTTGTAGCTGCTTAAATGTTCATCTTAATGTGTTCATTAATATTAGATCACCGGGCAGTGTTTCATTTACTGTAGTTCGGTGACAAATTGAAATTCAATCATGAAATATACACATGGCATGTAGATCACATCTGTGGGTGTATGTATCTGATTCTCATATGAGTATCATATGATTCTCATATGATTGGTTTCATATGAGAATCATAGAAAAAGGGCATCATATGTGAATCATATGAAGCAAATCATATGATTTACATATGATCCACATATGTGAATCATATGAAAATAACTACATATGATTTGCATATGAATGATTTAAGTGTATTTCAAGTCATTTACATATGAGAATCATATGAAAAGGGTATCATATGTAAATCGTATGTAACACTTAAGTGTGTTTCAAGCCATTTACATATGAGAATCATATGAAAGGGGCATCATATGTAAATCATATGAAACAGTACAGTGTGTTCTCTTTCAATATTTTTCTAATTCTTGTACACATTTAAAAATCAGATATTTCTGCTTTAGATGAAAACTCTTTAAAAAAAAATTACATTACAACAATGATCTATCTTCATTGGTTAAATATTTGAAAATATCTTATAATGCTTACACAACTTTTTTGATAAAAATATTTTCATCAAGAGAAATAACTTATTTTTCACAGTGTACATTCTAAACAAGAAAATATACAAACAAGTCAGTAGCATTTGTCGATACATGTATTTAACATATTCTAAAATGAGTACAAATTTCAAGATTTCAGCAAAATGATTAAGTCGTTAAACATGTATAAATTAATAAAATAATTAGGTCATGTACTTGTATAAAAATACCATATGACATGAAATTGTCCACAGCAAAATTGAAATATCAGCAATAACATTTGTCCTGTATTCTCTATTGTAAATTTATGAAAAATCAAGTTATCTGATATTCTAGCATATAAATAAGAATGAGAAATCTTTACAGGTCAAATTCAGACAAGATTTTGTACATCCTCCACGTTTCATAATTATTCCATAGATTTCCAGGTTCTTTTTTCTTCTGTTTCTTTTCAATATTTTCAGTTGTCCTCCCTCTGATCTGACCATTTTGAAAATCTCTTTGAAGTGTACCAAAAATGCAAATCCACCAGTTCTTCCCTTCCTGAACAATTTCTTTGTGGCACAGAAAGGTCTCTACAAAAATTTCAAAAATAAAAATAAAATGATTCTTAAATTACAAAATCAATTCTATAAGTTATACTACAGTAACTTATCATCAGCAAACAAATGTATTCCCAATGCACTGACACAGATATAATACGAGAAAAAAATATGTTATATATGTTATACTAGGTGTCTTGTCGAATCCTATGACGTAATTTGCAAGACAATTACACTGTTGGAAGATATTGCTTCATATTAAAATCATAACAAGCTATTTTTTTTTTTTTTGAAATTGAATTTGGAAAGTTCAAATATATATTAATTCAAATTGCCAAAAATTAAGAAGATTCTGACACAAATATATTACTTTTGGACAAAAAAACTACAGACAAGTAGATAGGCAGAAAAAACAGACTTTGTGATTTCAGGATATCCCAGACTTTTTTGGGAAGAATATAACAAAGTATATTTAACAGTGTGTAGTTACCTTAACTTTGAAGCAAGCAAGCCTTGGATCTTTGGTTTTTTTTCTTATGAGAGGCTGACTGTATATTGAACCTGTAAAACAAATATTCACACAGTAGATATTTTCTAAGCATTATAAACTAAAATTTAAACTAGGTACTAGTACTAGTTTGTAGGTTCTCAATTGTCTTAAATATCTTACACCGTTCACGGTAGCTCAGTCGGTAGAGCGCTCGCTCTGTGATCGGGAGGTCGTGAGTTCGCATCTCGGCCGCGACTGACCTAGTCGTTAAAATTGGTAGCAACTGTTCCTTCGCCATGCGCTCGGCACTTAGAAGTGAAAGTTGCGGGTCTTTCGGATGAGACCTTAAAAACCGAGGCCCCGTGTCAGCGGCAGGCGTTGGCACGATAAAGATCCCTCACTGCTCAATGGCCCTGAGTGCCGAGTATAGGTCTAAATTTGAAGCCCTTCACCGGCATACGGTGACGTCTCCATATGAGTGAAAAATTCTCGAGAGGGACGTTAAACAATATACAATCAATCAATAAATATCTTACAATTTACCTGAAACTTTAAGTTTTTTAGTGTTGGAAAAAATTATAAATGTCAGTCAATGAACACATAGATGTAAATATTCAATAAATTAGCTATCTGATGTACTTTCAACACATAGTCACATGCACATGTATTTGAGCCTTGAAAATTGCCACTGTTAGGCCTATTATTAATTTTTTGCTGAAATTCACAAATTCAGTTTACCCCCTGAAGTTATTGTGTAGTTTCGTAGCTTAATTTAAAGCAAGAAAATTCAATTCATACTCACCATATTTAAGGATAAATAACACAAACAAACTTTTTTCAGAAATCAGCATTATTTTAAATAGATTTACATTGAAATTGACATCCTGAATAATGTTTACCAAGTAGTATTAGAGAATTATATAAGATTTTGCCATAAAGTTAAAAAATTGTGCAAAATTATGTATGGAATTATATAGAAGGCCAAATAAAATCTCAAATCTAAGCACCAAGGAAAACCTACGATTTCTCTATATTTCAGGGATTTATTATTTATGTCATTACAAATCAAAATCAGTCAGAAAATATATATCAACCCGCGCATCCATTTTTTGTTTGTGGTAAGTACCCTTAAAAAAAATACATTGGATTAAAATTGTTTCTTAATGTAGAATAAAACATCTATATTATCGAGTTGAATTTATTTTTTATGAAGCCGTGCAAACAATGTATTGCAATTTTTTTTTACCTTTAATATTGTGACGATGCAATTGTCTGTCAGAATCAACTTTGGGCAGTTAGGATCAATCGCCAGTCTTATCAGATTTGGGCTTCTCGGACTTGATAAAAAAAAGCAGCACTGTGACACTGAACTCAAATTGTTGAATGCATCTAAGGCCATAAAAACAAATATTTGTCATTAAGTTGATGAAAAAATAGACTTGATAACGATCTCAACGAACAACAACGCCAACTGCTATACAGGGTTTCTACTTTCACTTTCAAATCAGTACGTGACAAAAGTCAAAACAAAAAGAAAACAAAAGTAATGCCTTTAGCCTAACATGTAAATTATATTGTTTACATCCATTCAGAAACAAATTCATCCAAAATTACTTACAGATCACTAACATTATGTAGGACTGCGAAATGCATTCATTTAACCATTACAAGTGATGAGAGTATTACTGCAGTATAGAAATAAGTTCATACGAACGTGTAACCGTAATGGAAGGATATTTAAACAATATGAATTAGCCTAAATGTCTTTATAAAAATTTTAGGAGATAACTTACTTTTTCCGACACCCAGTACCCAGCACTTTTGCTGCAGCAGTGACGTCAAACATGACGTACACTTTCATTCGATAAAAGTCAAAACCATTCCGAAAAAATACGGAATTATTTGATTTTACTCAAGTTATAATCCAAACCCAAAATATTTGAAATAAAAGGCAAAGTAATTTATTATCTTGTCAATTTTGTATGGGAAATGCATTATTACAGAAAAAAAATCTTGAAAGTTTTATTTTTTATATGTGAAAGGTTGGGGGGGGGGGGCATTAAACAGAGTAGAACTTTACATAAGTAATTGCTATCACATTCTATTGAATATATGTACATTTAAATTACCGTCTATTGATATATATTATTGAAATTGCAATTTTAATTGCATATACTAAGGGCAAATTAGTGAACTCTGTTTCATATGATTCTTATATGATCACTGTCAAAATATTCATATTATATTTACCTGGGTATAACACGGGCTAATTAGTGAATTTGGTTTCATATGATTTTCATATGATCAGTTTCATATGATTCTCATATGACCACTGCAAAAATATACATATTATTCTCATATGTAAGACCTTTCATATGAGAATCATATGTATATAACTTCATATGATTAACATATGTTTGATCATATGATTCTCATATGATTGGCCACATATGATTTTCATATGATAGTATATACATATGATTCTCATATGATCTACATATGATCTTCATATGAAAGGCAATGCATATGTGGATCATATGTGGCTAAATTGCCTATGTAGACAAGCAGTAATTCAGGTTACATGCGAGTTCTAATTTAACTCTTTTATTAAGTTGCAGTATAAGCTCTTGCAGTAATTTCACTTTCAGAAAAAGAAATATCAATGGTAAATACATTAAACCACACATGCAGTTAAACAATCTTGAAATAAAGTACCACAGGGACAATGAATGTCATATATGTGTTTTTCCAACTTCTTCTTTGTCGTATTTCTGTAAGAGCTCACATGTAATCATAGTGTTGACCATTTTATTTATATTCCATGTGGAGTCATTTGTTCCCTAGGACCTTCACAATAAGTTTGTGGTACACTTTATATTATTGTGAAAATCACTAAATTGCTAAATTAACGATATCATTAGAAGTGTGATGTTCACAATACATTGTTACTGTTGGCCTGCAGCTGTCAGTGTGCTGTACATCTTTATTATGTAACACTACAGATAGGCATAAACAAATAAGTACATGCAATTAGAAAGTATAAGACCTTGTTAAAATTTATTTTCATTTTGGTTTTTTAAAATTATGCTCACGAATTCAACACTCAATTTTTTCTAAAAACTTATAATGAGATTGCATTATTTTATAGACACTTGTTAGTATGATTAATAGAAGCAATTAGTATACACAAGTAAACATAGTACATGTCAAGTATATGTAACTTTTTTTGATGGGGTGGGAATTAAATGTATACTTGGTATGGCCTATATATAAAGAGTTAATTATCTGAATCCTCTCTTGAGAGATAAAGGGGTGCTGAAATTCGTTATGCACTGTAATTTATGGTCAGAAAACCTTTAATATCTCCAAGATTTAAGCATATTGATCAAGTTTTTATTGACAGTTGTAGACTAACAGAGCTTTAAATGATGGATTTTATATGGCCCCATGTTTCTTATAATAGGGTTGAATAGGATTAACTTTCCATTTAGATATTTTTTTATCTTTCGGGTAGCTAGGATTTTCTTTTAAGAATATAAGGTTGAATGCTACATGTATTGATCGAGGTTTTCAAGGTACATTACCTTTTTTGTTGGCTCATGTATCATTTTTTCTGGGAGGGTTATTGATTGATATCAAGTAGGGGGCTTTGGATGAAAAATATGAAAAATGTATGAACTTATTAAGGCATATATTTAAAAAAAAAAATTGGGGATTTTTCATATTACAGTGAAAATTGTCTAATCCAACAACTGTGCAATATATCACACTGTGAATTCTGACATAAAATTTCGTTCTCATTTTACCATGTTTACTATTTTCCATTTTTTTTTACACCATGCAATCTGATATCCTGTCTATCCCATAGGTGACTGCTTAATACAGGTTTGACTGTAATTCTTAATAGCAGTTAAACTGTATTTTGACATCTATGGAATAATAAGATTTTCTTGAATAAAGTAGAGAATAAAAAATTAATATGTTGATATAAGATTAGTGTATTTGATTCTTTATTTGCTCATTTAATCCAAATGCAAAGAGAGCATGAATTAAGCTCCCACAATCTCAGTTAAGGCAGTGGGCCTATATAGCTGTGAATTCCCCCTGGGAGGGTTAATCTTAGGTCAGAAATATCAAAAAGTTGTAATTGATTTTCTCTAGGTTCTTTTGCTCCCCATTGCGCTTTGCTGACATTTCATGACAAAGATGTAACCTTATTGTGGTACATTATATAGGGTACACCCACTGCTTTTTCTATGAAACTGCCCTTGTGGTTATTGCATACACGCATTATACATTTAGCAATAAATGAAGGATTTTGCAGTTTAGGTGAAATTATTAAATACCATATTTGCACAACTGCAAAATTCTAAGGGCAATTGCATTAAAATGACAGGCATTTATGAAGGGGAGTTTAAATTTACCGAGATATTTATGGCAATAAGTTCCCTAGGAAGAAACTTCTTTAATTTTCTGCGCATTTTATTTTAGAAATGTGAAAATAATCACACCCTCTCAATTTTTACTAGATTGGTGTACTGTTTGATGTATCGGTGACAGCACTGCGATCATGAAAACTGGCAACAATTCATCATTATAGGTGAATCGGCCTACACATAAATAATGGCTTCTTTTGGTTGTATAATTTGAAGATATTATATTATGTCCACCTGGAAAGTCTCTTATGGAAGTTGCTATGTCATTTACAGTAGCAGAAGGAATTGTCAAGAGATGGTGCTAAAATACAAATGTATTGGATGGGGGGGGGGGAGAAAGAAAAAAGAGGAAAAGAAATGTTGAAAAGTTTTTGAAATTACAAATATTTGAAAGGTTTTAGAATTATTAACTTTAGAATTAACAACAATTATGACAAATTTATGCTTTTTCCTGAATCCTCTGAAAATAGTTCTTGATTTATTCTTTGTCCCAGAGCTATATTGGACTATTTTCACATAATTAGTCTAATGGTTACAGTTAATGACCTGTTTCATTGGCTTGGTACATGGTAATGTGC